TCAAGCTGCAGCATTTCTTTCACCAGCACTCAGCAAGTGGCCATTTAGGCTTAATTGCTCCTCACAGCATGGTCCAATTAAGAACGGGCATCAGCAGGGTAAGGGCTATTTGTTAATCCATAAAAGGTATGAGCGTCAGTACTTGTTTTGCCTGTGGTTTTTATTCACATGTTTGGGTGAAAATCTAAACAGCTGGAACTCTCACAAGTGATATGTGTATGTATTTAATCTGTTGGTTATGGGCAAGACTAGTGTGTGAATGTATTTCACAAGAAAACAAACCTTTTCTTCCAATACAAAGGAAAACTTGGTCAAGATATTGCTGAAATGTACCAAAGTATGGTATTTGAAGTTGTAGTGGGGAGAGGGCAGAGCTGGCTCAGAGGAGAAAACCTCTGAACCAAGGAGGTCACTCTGCAACATGAAGATGGTTTTAGTCTCTGGGAAGGCAATTTCCCCATTAAAGCTCTTAATTTCTATCAAAACATATTGTGGGCTGTTTTCTTTTTAAATAGAGGTTTTGCTTTTTGAAAATTTGCTTTCTGTATATCACTTAGATGTAATACAGGGAGAACTGCCATTCTATGCTGGAGACAGGATAAATTGAGAAGAAATGGAAAGTGTGGGAGTGACCATGTGCCTCTTGCGATACGAAGAAAATATTGCTGGTGGAAATAGGATTCTTTCCCAGAATCATGGGAAATGAATTTTTGGGATATATACATAGGAGGACTTGACGCACAGCCCTAAGATTTATTGGAGCAAAACCAAAGGACTGCCGCCAGGTGCATGATGTCTCATCCATGACCAGGTGGCTTGGCTCTGTCTTGCTGAGGAATAAGTTCTGGGCCTGGTGAGCACAAGTACCCGCCCGAGGGTCAGGATCCAGAACTGTAATGCCATTACCCTGGGCTCTGGTAGTCCTGCATAGTCCCTCCTCCCAGCCCGGAGTACACTCAGTCCCAATCAGCACCATGCTTCAGTTCAAGGGGCTGCTATGGAGAGCAAGCAAGTGAAGGAATGAGCCTCTGGCGTTTGTGAAGCTTTGGTTATATCTCCTTGGGTTTGGGAAGAAGTCAGCTTTCTTTCAAACTAACCATTCTTCTTCCTGATTCTTTGTGGACTTTTGATGGGACCTCCCCCTAATCAATTGCTTTCTAGGATCTTCTGGGGTTCCATGCCCTTATCCTAGCTCATCCTTTCCCCATATTTTCCCAGGTTAAACTTCTCCTCTTTATGTCACCATTTTCGCTCCTACTTTGCATGCCTCATAGTTGAAGGACTGCCCCCTGCACCATCTTGGCTTCCACCACAATGTGCTGAGCAAAGAAATTTCCCCTACTGTTTCATCCCTCCTCCCTGTAATACCAGCTAACTGGCAGTTGTGCCCCAGGGAGATTGGAAAGTCGGTCCTTCCTGCCTGCTTGGGGATTAGCATCCATTTGGTGGAGGATGTGGCTGTCCCCTGGGGAGTCTGTGAATGCTACAGCTTCCTAGTTAGTCAGACTTAATGTCTGATTCCATTTGCTCCCTTCCTTTATTAATAACTAATTAGCTACCTATGCTAACAAAAATAGGCAAACATGGGAAGAAACATGTATTGTGTAACTTAAATATTCTCAGCTAGCTCAAAGATTTCTACACTTCATTCTTTATGAAAAAGAATTTGATGATCACTAGCCAGGCCGAGGGGCTGTCTACTGGTTTCTTACAAGTCTAAGTTTCTTGCAAGCCAGAGAAGGGGAAGATAGAAAACACACCTGGTGACCTGCTCCTTCAGGCTGCTCATGAAATCCTGGGGTCATGCAACAAGATATGTTGCCTAGAAAAGTCAGACTTAAGTGGTGTTGGGAATTTCGAAAGGCAGGAAGAAAGGACATTTAATATTTTTGCCTTCCCCAAGCATTGGATGGCAAGTATCTTCCATGATTTACATGTTGGTTGGGCTCTGAAGACAGGCAGAGCCATCAATTAATTTCTTTTCCCTTCTTCCCAAATTTCTCCCCTTCCTGACCCTCATACCCCTGGGAGATTTTGTTCCATTCATAACCTATCTGGCCTCCTATGACTTCCCTCTACAAGCACAGAGAGGGAAGCAAGGCCTGAGCAATTGTTCACACATCTGGGCTGTTCAGTGGCCAGTCGACCTGACATAGCTCAGGCTAGAGATTTCCTTATTCTTTAGCCAAGTGAAAACCTATTTTTCCCCTTTGGTTTTGCTTTTGCCCTACTGTCAATTGTAAATCAACTGATGAGTGAAACCTCTGCTGATTCCAGGACTGTACCTACCAACAGATTAATGATTCTCCTTGGGAAAATGCTCACACTCTCCTGCCTCTCAGTCTGCATCCTGGGGGGCTACTGGCTTCAGGTAATGATATTTACCCGGCTCATTGAAATGTCACACTTAGGACTGAGCCCCATAGATTATTATTGTGCTCGTGTTATATTGTAAAGATAAAGGTCAGACCAGAGCTCAGATTTATTCACACCCTTGATGCATTTCTGAGAGTTAGTAGAAAAATAAACTATTAGGTATTTCAGTTAAAGGTACATACAAGTGAAAGTAAGCTTTTTTTGTTTTCCCTCCAGTGAAGGAAAAGAAAGAACCACAGAACAATTTAGTTTTTGGAATAAACAAAAGTAAAGATTATCGGCTCATCTAAGGTCTATAAACACTACCTCTAATTTTCTGCACAGTTTCTGACTGTCCTTAAAAATGAGTGGAGAAGGTAAAAGGTCAGGGTAAATTCAGGAAGACTAAGGGAACTACTGAGAATTGATCACTGCATAGTGACTGAGTAGGTCACCCCTCCTTTGCAGGACCAAGGTGGCCCACCAGTTCCTGTGGAGTTGTTTGGTGGCTGGAAAACCTATCATTGTCACTGAGCACCTTTGTGTACAGTTAGTCACAAAGTATGTGGCTTTTTACCTTGGACTCCAGATTCCAAAGAGCAGGATTGCTAACCAATACAAGACGCTGCTGGCTCTAAACTCAAGGAGGAAGCTCAGTGAAGAGGGAATAAAGAACGGTGATATTAAGCCCTGGAGGTGGCCCTGCAGTGTGGACTGAAAGTCAGTGCTGAGCAGCATGAAGCACACGCTGCCAGTGTCTTTGCTGCACCAGACCTTTGAATAAATCACTGGCTGAGTGTTGTTAGCTGTCAGGGCAACAGCTCTCATCAGCACTTAATAAAAAGTCCCAGACCATCTACATCAAATTATGTTTCTTCCATAAAATTTAGCTTTTGAGCTTTGAAAGAATCTACTGGGCTCACCTCCATTTTTCTCGCTCACTTATCCTTTAAAGGATTATCTCCACATGGAGAGTTATATTTGAAGGGTTTAGTCTTTCAAATTATGTGAACAGGAATTGGTGGCAATCTTTTACTTGCCTCTCCCATTTCTGTGATTCCTCCTCCCCTTCTTCTTACATTTCTCAGTTGAATCTCTGTGCTTATTTTAATATTCTCCTTTCTATATTCTCTTACAGTTTTTTATTCTTTATTAACTTCATAATAATTACCATTTCAAATTCTAAGTGCTAACTGTGGTAGGCAGTTCGACAGATAAGATCAGAGCAAGGACAATGGGCCAGGTACAGAAGGTCACCAGGGCAGAAAGTCCCGGATGCTTAGCAATGGGGAAAACAAGGACCTTGCCCCCAAGGTGACCTCTCCTCCCCTAGTATATCACTGGTCATGTGGTTGGTTTAAACCCCCTGACCTTTCATATCACTGATTATGCAGCTTGGACCCTCCCCTGACTTTTCCTCCCCTGGCATGTAGCTAGTCATGTGGGTTAGACCCCCCTTAGAGGGGAAACAGACAAGGGGGCCAGAGAATAGCCCTTAAGCATTAAGCCCCCAGGAAAATGAAGTTCTGACCTAAATCAAATATGTCTAGGTCCCAGTTGCTTCAACTCCAGGCCCAGAAAAATAACTGCCTACCATAGTTAGCACTTAGAATTTGAAATGGTCATTATTATGAAGTTAATAAAGAATAAAAAACTATAAGAGAATATAGAAGTGACACCAGGACTGCCCTCAGGACCAGCTGTGTTGACTAATGACTCCCTGCCCTGGTACCAGCCAATCAATGGACACCATGATCCTGAAAGGACACACCTGGAAGCCTGATGGATAGTCTATTGAGATCCTCTCCTCGGATATCCTCTAAAATCTCCACCCTTAAAACCCTTTAGGAGGGAGAACCCAGCATGCTCTCCTTCTCTGGAACATGACCCTGCCTTTCCCACCCCCTCTTCTTTTGTCTCTGTAACTCGTTTCCTGAGCCCATATCTTCTATGGCTCACTTTTTCTATCTCTGAGACTTTCTAAATAAACTTTCTCTTATAGTTTGAGTCTTGACTCTGAATTCTTTCTTAGCCAGAACTGAAGTGCTGAGGTTGCTGAACTGAGGTCCTGTCTGACTCCACTGGTTCAATACCTGGTGCCTTTTTTACCACCAACACTGTGTAGTTGGTACTGCACTGGATGTAGCAAGGAAGGAGTGTTTGATGCTATTCGAGGTGTTTGCTTATCTTTGTCATTTTAGTAGGAAGAAGAAAAATGTTTTTTAAACCCTATAAATAATACACAAATTGGGGAATAATAAATACACGTTTGTGTTTACCTTATATTACTACACCTATAAGAGATGTTGCCTTATTCATTTTTATGTTTATTTTTAGTATTTCTTAATCATCTTCCCCACCATTAAAAAAAATCAGAAAAATGGCTGTCTCTAAGCCCCTACCATCACTTTTCTTTTGCTTCTACTTATAAACAAAACATTATTTTTGAAAACAGTAGTTGCTTTTGCTAACAGGTTTCTCTGACCCGTACATAGTTTGTCTTTAAGGAAACAGGGTCAAGTGACAGGAAGTGGAGGGAGCTTGCCCCTGGGGGAGGGGACGACGGGAGCTAGATTGACTCTCTTCTCTCTCTCACAGCTATTTCCTTCCTCACTGTTTTCTGTGTTCTTTCTATTTTCTCCTAGATGGAATGTTTTTGACCCATCAAAGAGACAAGAGCAGTGAATTGGAGCCGTAGCGTGATTTCAATCAGAAGATGGAAGATAAGAACCACTAAATGTAAGTCATTTGCAAATCAACTTTCATTCATGCCTTCAACAAACATTTATTGAGTGCCTTCTTTTCCAGGCACTGTTCTAGGTACTTGGGATACATGAGTGAGCAAAACAAAACATGATCCTTGCTCTTGTGGGTCTTAGATTCCAGATGGGGGCAGAGACAATAAATAATAAATCTAATAAATGAGTTAATTATCCAACTGTATGGGTGGAAAAAAGTTCTTTTTCCTTTACCCGTCTTAGGTTTATTGGTTGGGGCCCTATAAATTAGACTGACAAAAGACAGATTAACAAGAGAAAAAAAAATTATTAACATATGCATCCTACAAATACGTGGGAGTGCTCAGTGGTGGTTAGAACTTGGGCTTATATAGTATCTTAAGAGAACAACACAGTTTTGGAAAAGTGACAAGACAAAGGAAAAGGACTTTGAGTTTCTAAGGCAGCAAATTGTGGAAAAATATATTTATATGGGGGAAGTAATGGAAAATAAGGGCCAAGTAGTAGTTTATTATGTAAGTTCTGGTGCCATCTCTGGCTGACAAGAGTCTAGAGTTGTCTCTAGTGATTAACTTCTGTCCTTCCTGGTGGAGACGGGGAGGGGGACACCTTTACAAATGTACAGGGGTGGGTCAAAGTATGTTTACAGTTGTGAGTATGCAAAACAGAGTTGATTCTTGTATTGCTATTTATTTATTAATTATTGTATTATTTATTTGTATTATTTGTCTTCTTATTGTTATTATTTTGTGTCCTTACTTACAATTTATATTTTAGGTAATGATGGCTGATAATATAATCTACTCTTTTACATACGCCTGTATGTCTTGCTTTTAGGCAAACAGGGGGAGAGGGCAGAGAGTTTTGCTTACATTTGCTTCTCAGTTGCGCTTAGCTCAAAATAATCCTTATGCCAACATGGCATATTTGGGGGTGGTATATTTTGCTACCCTTCACAGCTTATTAGAAGATGGTGAGTTCTATGGAAAGAAAGAAAACAAAGAGCAAAATAAGGGGATCAAAAGTATGGGGGTGTTGCACTTTAAAAATACGTGTTGCAACATTGTCATCATTGAGAAGATGACATCAGACAAAGACTCCCTTCTTACTAGATCCCACAGATGCTCACAAAGGTACTAGCAGGGCTGGGCCATAATCAACTTCGCTATGAAATATCTTCCCATTATGTAGGAGGAGCTGCTGTTTTATAAAGTGAGCTACTAAGAGAAAAGTGGAAATAGGGCTACAGTTTTTAGCTATTTCTTCCTGATGGGGAAAAGATCAGCTCAGAGAAGAGTTATGCGGGTAAAGACAGATTAGAGACTTTAGAACATACTGTGAATGATATGTTCTCTATTTCTTAGTATAACTTAGATACTTTTTTTTTTTTGGTTGATGACTCATTTCTGGGCCACTAGGTGGTATCCACATAGAGCCACAGTTTTAATTCAGAGATGTCTGTGCAAAAGTATGTTGCAGAGTTTCTACAAAGAGTTCTTGTTCAATCCACTTGAGATTTGTGAGTGTTTGGGTCTTTGTGTGTGTATGTTTGTGTGCATATGAATAGAATTGGTCTAATTAGTAAAAGATGCTATCTCGGTGCAATGTATTACACAGCTTTAATTTTATATAGATAATAATTTATAATCATTGCCTTATTCATATATTCACTTGTTGATAATTAGACTCTAAAACAATGATTCTACAACATGTATCTTTTTGTGACATCTAGAGTAAGGCTCTTAAAATTGTTTGGTTGTTCATAGCATTTCTAATGGAGGCTGACTACTTAATTCCCTTCTTAGAGGGAACTTGGAGTCTGATAAGTAATATGTCAGAAATGATTATGGAAAAGAAAACCAGGAATGTGTCCCAAAAGAATAAGTATATCTTTGGGAAATGAAAAGAATCTCCTGAATTTCCATCCTGTCACATGTTAAATTGAGAACCATTTAGATGAGATCACACCCTAAGCAGTGCCCAAACTGGGTGTTTTAAAACACATCCCCCCTCTTTCTTATGAATGTGCTGGCAACAGCGCCTACTGTTTTCCAATAAACTTTTTGTGTGACTTGGCTCGGAGGGGGGAGGGTTTCCATAGAATTTGGAATAGGCTGGTGGTAACTTTTTTAAAAAGAATAATATATCTTCTAGAGATCAGGCTGTGGGACAAAAACACCCATTGGAGGGAAGCAGGAGCCACACTTCTGCTGAGAGGGAGTTAAGAGTGGGGGTAGTGGGAGTGGTGGGAGTGGAAGGGTGAGCAGACATTCTTCCTGCCTGGTGAAAAAGAAAGGCCTGGTGCTAAAAGGTTTGCGCCATTTCAAGTTTTCCAAGCATTGAATATGAAGGAGAGGTGATCAGAAGCTGCAAAAAGGAGAAGCAGGAAATGATGGGTCGGATTTTTTCCCCAACACTATTTTTGCTGTCGGAAACAAACCCCACCTTTACTGAGTGTTTATCTGTGCTGCCCAGGTTAGCCCACCAGCCTCTCCGCCCAGGCCTTGGGTCCAGAACTCACCTGGAATTCTGCTGCCTCTCTCCCTCGAGGTGGGGCTCTGGTCCAGGCCCTTCATGCACTAGGTCTCTGTTTCCATCTGAAAAGTGAAGACAATACTATTTGTCTCCAAACGAAAGTGTGTGAGAGTTCCGTGCTTTTTAGGGAAAGGGGATTAACCAATACTCTGTTTCTAGTCTTGTTATAACACATGCAGAGGAAAATAAGGACTCTTTAGAAGGTTACATCATTTACAAAGAACAGTTAAAAAATTATATGGGTTGAAGTACAAATATAATAAATATATTCTTCCTATTCTTTCTTTTTTTGCTGCCTCCATCTGAAGTATAGCTTTTGTACTCTGAAGAAAACATTTGATTAAAATTATTAAAAGCTAGAAATTATTTCAAAAATTTTTCTCTTTCTGATGGGTATGTTACTGTGGATAATAAAAACTTAGAGACAGTTCTAGATTATGACATGCTATTTGTGGCTAGAATAAAGTTTGATGTTTTCATTCTGCTTTTCCAAATTTAATAGTCTATGTCCTTTGTAGCCAAGCATGTAATAAAAAAACTTAGCAAATTTATTATTTATGTATTTTTTTACAATATCATTTCTTTAGGCAGGGCTTGGGTGTCTGCTTGGCTCTCATTTTTAAAACAAGGAATTTCACTTTAGTCATTGTAGATTATCCAAGGGCTGATGATAAAGGAAATAGAAAAGACAGAGATAATAGAAGAAAAGAAAGCAAAAACTTTGCCATATTATTACCTGTTAGTCAATGAAGGAAGAGTGAGCATTATGTCAAATAAAGGGAGGCCTCTTCTATCTACCCCTGTCTCTTAATGTAGTCAAGCAGAATTATAAAATGCAAGAGCTGAAATTCACCATAGAGATTGTCTAGTTTGGTGGTTTCCAATTGTGCTTCATAGACCATTTGAGATTTTATTGCCCTCCTGCAACATTGAGCAACAACAGGGAGGGATGAGCGAAGGGAGCAAGTGGACTTCTGGTGGCTCCTTCTCTCCTTCTCCAGCTTTTATGTGTTTTTTTTGGTATTTGGCTTGCATCTAGATTTTGTTTAAACAAGAGTTTGACTGTTAAGTTAGCTTAAAATGTCTGAGAACACTTCCCAATGATGTTAAGTAACATGTTCAGGCACAGCTGGGTTGAGAGGGAAGCAGTACCTGGGCATTGCCTGGGGCATAGGTTTGTACAGTGCTAAATACATCCCTGCAGGTATAAGGAGGTGTACTGAATCGTGTTTACCAGACCTCTGCACAGTAGATAGAGCTGAAAGGAATAGGAAGATGAGCCACAAGAGTGTGAGGTGTCAACCTCAAGAGGCACTTGTGAGGTCAGGGTCACGAAACTGTCTTTGAGGAAGATGGAGCCAAGGACCGGCACATTCTTGTTTTGATAACTGGGGTATATGCATTGCTCTTCTCCCTCTTTTATATACTCTGTACTCAGCCTTCCCCCTAAATTTTGTTCAAGTACTTAAAGGGTCTTGGTTTGAAGGGACATCAATTTTTTTGCCTGCTTGCATCACTCACATGGGTCTGTCCGGCTTGCTGCCCTCAGGAACTTGGCCAGCTAGTGGCTGAGCCAGAGTGAGGAACCAGGTTTCCAGAGTCCTACTCCAGCATCCTTCTCTTACTCTGAAACTCCTACTTCATAAAGAAACCACTGCGATGATGTTGATCAATACGCAAAGGACGAATACCAGGAATTGTCCCCCCGCTGCCTCATTTTCTTTATTAAAATAAATCAAGAATATAGTTTCTCTCTCTTGTAGCTGTTATGAGACTTGCTGATATAGTGTGTCTGACCCTTTGGATAAAAGCATAATGGAAAACAAAATTGTATTAATAAGATATTGCTAATATTAATCAATATGAAATGCAATAGTGTTCTGGGGTGAGGAAGTCAGGAAAGAATGCTATAATCTCCTCTGGGATCTGCAAGACCAGACACTTCCCAATGCTTCTTGGTAAATACTCAGCCTAGAAACGGTCCCCAAAAGTGCAGTAAAATATGCAGCTCTAATGTTTGTGTTAGGTGGAAATTATGGCTTGGAAAATTCTAGCAAATCTCTTCAATCATGGAAACAGTGAGAAATGTTAAATTTCATATAATTATCCCACCAGAATGGAAGCTACATCACATTCTGTGCTCTGTGTGATAACTGCTTAAAAAGGTCAGCGTCCTTACAGTCCTAGTCTATAGGCCATATTCTAATTGAACTTCTTAGTGTGTCTGACAGATGGGAAATAGCTCATTTTGACCCTCGATGCCTAGTTTTTGTTCGCATAACCTAATAATATGAGATTATTACTTTTGTATTTTATACAAGTCTGTAATAAAGACCCCAGTTCCAAGGATAGCAACCAAATTTTGTTTTTTATATTTTCCCATTTTGCTATAAGGAGCTTACAATAATGGACATTCTCTCATTGAATCAAGAGAACATGGTTCTATTATTTTAATTTTGCAAAGTG